ATGTTACAGGAGTGTATCATGATCCTCTCCAGGGTTTGAAAGGTATCTGAAAATCTTATCTATCTTATTGATCCTTTTACAAAGGTAACTTAGGCTAAGACCTAGCCAGAGCTCTGTCATGATACCCCAGGCTGAGGATGGAGAGTGATGCCTCAGCATTTCTATGCCATCTCTGTATCTCCAAGATCTAATCTCTTTTGATTTTTCTAGTGCCAAGAGTCAGCCTCCTCAGGGACAGAAGGAAAGTGTAGGTCCTGAGGATCACAGAGCCTCTCGCCTGCTCCCTGGATTAGTCAGAGAGTCTTCTGCTTTAATGGAAGTCTATGTTACAGCTGAGGGGATCAAAGATCTTACCTCCCTGTACTCACATGGACCTCTGTTCTACAGGCGGGATCTGGAGCAGCTCTGGGAATGTGACACTTGCCTGGTCACCTACTTTAGGATTTGTGGGCTCTTGGCTGCCATCAGGTGTTGCAGACTTCAAGTTCATGTTGTCACAGTGTCAAGGGGAATGAAAGCCTCTGCAGAGCTCCGGTCCCTGAAGTACAGCTTCCCTCTCTCTCCACAATTACTATATCTGTTTTGCTAAGAACTTATTTCAAGCTTAATTAGGGATTAATTATTTTGAGAGGAAGGATGTGAGTTGAGAAAATGAGCAACTAAGTTTCTGTGTATGGAGCTCCCTGTGTCTCTTGATGGTTTTTCATTTTCCCAAGTGCCAAGTTGTGACCTGTTAGGGGACTGGGTTCTGACATAGAGACCAAGTCACTTGTTTTCCTTTCTTAAATTCATTCCTAGTCTGGATTAGAATAAATTATTCTCAACAGTGGGGATTCATGTGCAAGTTCCAAACATGAACTAGAAGAAGTTTAGAGTTCTTTGTTCTACATGTCCCCGTTGGAAGTTAAGTGTTGTCAGAGGCCACCTGTTCGTTCCTGGTCACCCAGATTCTAAATAACCACACAGAAACTGTATTAATTAAATCACTGCTTGGCTTATTAACTCTAGCTTCTTATTGGCTAGCTCTTACATCTTAAATTAACCCATTTTAATTATTTTATATTTATCATGAGGTTCGTGGCCTACAGGCAAGGTTTTGGCTGGCTGCTAGCATCTTTCTCCCCTAGTGGCTACATGGCTTCTCTCTAATTCTGCCTTCTCTCTCTCTCTCTCTCTCTCTCTCTCTCTCTCTCTCTCTCTCTCTCCCTCTCAGTCTGGCTTTATTCTGTTAAGCCATTGGCCAAAAGGAGCTTCTTTATTCATTAACCTATAAAAGCAACACATATACAGAAGGACTTCTTATATCATTTCCCCTTTTCTGTTTAAATAAAAAGGAAGGTTCCAGCTTTAACATAGAAGATTACATATACCCAAATAGTTATCAAGCAAGAATTACAGTTACAATATTTATATCTACTTTATCTTTGATCATATCTAAGGAAAACTATAACTATCTATTCTTCAACTCCATCAAAGACTCCAGAAGCATATAACACTACTTAAGTAAACAGGAAGTGCATTGTAAGCAACTTCCAAAACTTTAGAATTAACAGAGATATTTCACTGCCTGGACAGTCACCCAAAGTTCTTCTGTAACATTGTGGGCACCCATCTTCAGCCTGCTGGCTCATAGTATCTGGCAGACTTTTCCATGAAGCAGGAAATTTCAAAGACAGTTTCACGTATATTGGCAGTTTGTCAGTCACTTTCTTCTGTGTCCTGAAGAATGTCTGGCAGACTCCTTTATGAAGTAGAAACCCCGAAGGACTGTCTCACCTTCTTTAGGCAACTTCAGCAATAATTTTTCTGTGGGTCCTACATGTACAGTCAAGCAGTTTAGGCAAGAGCAGTTTCTTGCCCAAATGACTAATAAACTCCATGAGGAGCTTCTTCAACGCCTATCTTCTTCTTGAAGTAGATTGGTGCTGCCAGGAGCAGACATGTCTCACTGTCGTGAAAAGTCTTAAATTCTTAAAACATTTTAAATGCCATATTCCATAGGTCATTGAAAGGTTTGAAGATTATCTATATAATTGAAATATATCTCTACATATCTAGAAAAACCTAACTAACATGATTACAAACTTGATTATTATAGATGACTATCTACTAATCTGTATTTTTAATTATACATTACAGTTTTAAATGAGCTATACAAACACAATACCTTAATCAAAGAGCAGACATATAGCATATAACAAAATTGACCTCAGTTTATATCAATAGACCAAGACCCATGCCAATGTAAAGTATCCATCTCTATAGCATATCCCCCTTAAAATGTAAACAAACATTTATAAACAATATTTGGGAATTTGGGCATAGTTTTCTCCGAACGCTTTCTGCTTTTTGTCGGGTGAAATAATTTCAGGGGGTGCTCACGGTGACCTTTCATGGGGTCTTGGTCCATCAAATCACATTAGTCTGGAATGAATCCACAGGTTCTCATCCTCTGTGGAAACAAAAGAACCTCTTTTCCAAAGCAAAAAAAAACTTAGACCCAAATTTTGAAGTCAAGATATCTTTATGTTGGTTAAGCTTAGCAGCCCATACAAAAATTCAAAGAAAACAATAATGTACATAATCTAGACTCTCTGTGTATATTCCATCTTTACATGACTTCTTTTTCTTTACTTCTTTTATCTATGACTGTGTGTACTCTGTCTCTTCAAAGACATTTTTAAAATAACCATTTACTTCCTTTTATAACTGCCTACATTCTTTTTCCTCTCTCTCAAACCTATGTGCATTTATCTAACACTGTGACTCACTTGGAGGTCCTTTTCATCAGAATCTATCTTTATAGCCTATCTGTAATCCTTTTCTGACCAGGGCCACTCCTTAAAATGCTAAGTGGTGTGGCTAAGACTAAGGCTGATTTGCCTTTTGCCTCTGCCCAGTTCAACATGGCAGAGGTCCATTGTCTGCCTCTGAGATTGCTGGGTGAGAGCTGACCTCACCACCTCAATGCTGGTAACCATTTGGCCCATGCTGTCACCAAGTAACTTGTAGCATGCTGCCCACAAACCCCATTTAAATGCTCGGCCTCCTGCATTTAGTACTAACCGGGAAGGCTTCTTAAAGGAGCTGAACAGTTTTTGCTGCCAATGCTGAGTCAGAAAGACCTCTCTTAAACTTGCTGCCAGCAAATAGAGTTTATCCAGAAAAAAAAAATGTGGCAAACTTTTTATTTTATTTTATTTTATTTATTTTTTCTTGTGTGTTTCTAAATTTTTTTATAAGCTCTTTAAGGTTTTATATGGAGTCAGCTGGCACATGTTGGTGCACCAGTGAAGGTCTTTGTTGTAACTGATTCTTTCATTCCTTCACATTAAATGTCATATGGGAATTGAAATGAACACTTTCTTAGCCTTATCCCTAAGGCAATATTTACTCATTATAAAACTTTAATGACATTTCTAAAACTTGTGTGTTCCCAAGAGTGAAGCTTCCATGCACATTTAATTCTAGTTCCTACCCAGCACAGATGGAAAATGATGTAGATAAATATACAGGGACAAGATTAAAAGTGATGACATCTTTATTTTGTTAAGAGAAAGCACCATTGGGTTGACATAGGAGATGAGTTAAAGGCCATGGCTCATTCTCTGTTCCCTGTATGATGGCATTTCCATACATATAGGTGCAGCTGACACCTATATGAAATGCTGAAATGCTTTTTCTGTAAAAGAAATGACAGCTTTTGAGGAAACCAGAATTTCTATCCTCTCTGTTGAATGTGGAATCTAGGATCAGAGAAACTAAGTTGTACATTACATATATCACAGTAGGCAGAAATTGAAAAATAAGGGTTGTTGGCCAAAGGGCCCCATAGAATCCCCAAACATTCCAGGCTATTATCAAGACTCTAGGTATCTCCCACAAACAGGGCACTGACAGGAGCCTCCTTAGGATGCCTGCAGCACAGGGAGCCTGGATGATGTGGTCTCAGAGAAAAATCTGAACTCTCTGTGTTTTCCTGGTTGGGAGGCTGTAGAGTCCTCAGAGCCTCGATGTCCTATTGACATAGAATGCCAGACTGCATGAGCTTCAGTAGCCAGCTCCCTTCTGTGTCTTGAGGACGGCAGTTCCTGTGTCCACAGCAGAATAACATGTGTCTGACTAGCAATAGGGAGGATGGAGTCCTAAACTCTGACTGTGTGACCTGCACACAGGGTGACCTAACAAATTCTACATGTTCTATGTAGGCCCTCATGAGCGAATGGAAGTGAGAGCAAGCAGCTGGGGTGCAATGTTCCTGGGATATTTTTACACAGCACTGTGCACAGGAGTGAGGTTCTCAAGTGGGGCTTGTTTTCCAAAACACAATGGCCTTCTGTAAATATGACATTTACCCTGTACTTTTCTATATGACTAAACATCAGTGTCACGAGTGTGTTTGTAATTGCCTTACAGCGCTTATTCTGACCTGTTCTTTAGTGCTTGGCACCCAGCAATGCCAAGCATTCACTAAGTGCAATGAAACAGCTTCTCTCTGTGGTCATCCCCACTTTGCAAGCGACCTTCAGATAAAAGATGCTTCCTGACATCCTTCTTCACTTGTTCTTCTGCTTACTGGATTTAGAACAGTCTCTGGCACATAGTAAGTGCTTTGTATATAAGTAGGAGCATCGGTGATCACGGAAGTACATTAGAATGAATAAGAAGACAGGAAACGTTTGTGCACCCATATGAGACTAAAAATCTAGCATGTGGAAAAATCAAATTCTAATTTCAGGTAACTGCATGCCCTCCTGCATTTCCTGATGAAGGATGCAGTGAGCTAAAGCATGACAGGAATGGAGGGATAGTGAGAATCAATGCCAACACTCTAGAGCCTGAACCAATCTTCATTATCCAGGACAAGCTCTCTGAAAAAAATTAATCTATTATCTCAATCCATTTAGTGTTGTGATACAATAGAATGGAAGAGCAAAGCCATCTCAGTGTATACAGTTTAGTTCGTAAAGAACTGGGTGAGAAAAGGAATTTCTTATTTCTCAGAGCTCACAGCAGGGCTTAAAAACATGGACATCCTTGACAATCAGGACAAAGGGACTGAGGCCAGGATAACTAAGCACTAAAAATGCATTTATGTCGAGTATTGTGGAATCATGTGTCATCGTGAAGCCTGTGTAGAAGGAGAAAATGAAATCTGCCCAATAAAAGAAAAAGAAACAGGTCATGAGAATGAGAACCCTCTGGGCAGCTCTGATTTCTAGCCTGGAATTATTTGCCGACCTGGAGCTGTGAAGGTACAGGACACGTATGTGATGTTTGTACAGACGGAGAGCCATGGACCCACTGCTCCAGCCCATCAGACTCTGAAAAACGACATCACGAAGAGTAATGAGAGTGATGAAGAGCCACTTAACTGTGTTCCTGGATGGCAGCATACGGCAATACTCAGTATGCATCCCAGCTCCAGACCTGTTCGTGCTCCTGGCTGCCGTGAGATAGTGAGGCAAGTTGGAGCTTATCAAGAAATTGAAGATCCAAAAGAGAAGGAGGAAGGGGAAAACTTGCCATGCAGTCTGTGGTTTGAGCTTTCTGCAAAGGGTGGTCCTGGGACTGATGGTGACAGCCTGGACCACGCTGAGGAGACAGGTAGTGCAGATGGAGAGACCACGGGCAACCCTTTCTAGGTAAATTATAGTTTTACAACCAACGACACCTAGAAAGTTTCTGAAATAAAAAATAGTGGCTATGTATCTGACCCCTACGCAATGAATAATGATTGTGTTTACAAAAGCCAAGTGGATGAGAATAACATCTATACTTTTTTTTTCTCAGGACTCTTAATGAGAGTATTCACATGTCTCACAAATAAGATGATGTTCCCTAAAACCCCAAGTCCAGTAAGTGAAATGAAAATTAATCTCTTGATCAGGTCCCTCCAAAACATCTCCATGATACTTCCAGAACTAGGAAAGCCATTTTGAGAAAGACAAGGAGGTAAACATGATATGGTCCAGTCCTGTGGGTGTTTTTCTTTCTTTACTGAAAAGAACAGTGTAGTCTGTATGCACAGAGTTCTTTGCTGTAGATGTCTGACTTCGTTCTTTCCCCTTCTGTTCTTGCTTCCACCGACATGAAGATGACGCTGATGTCAACTGGACATAAACTCTGTGCTGATGCATTAGCTGCTTTACGAAGATAGTTCTTTATATCCCAGCCCTTAAACTTTTGTCCAGGAGAACATTTAAACAAAGGGCAGCATCATTCAATTTCTGAGTCATGATGTGAAAAATCAACTTAGATGTCCTCTCTTCCCACATCCTCTTCCCCATCCTGTGCTCACTCATCCCTTAAGTATTGAACTAATAGAAAATTATACTTACTCCAAAGGAGTGTAATACTTGCCCAAATGGTGTTGCTTCCCAGGGAAAGTTATGTGGCTTTTCTCTGTCTCCAACTCTGAAATGACCTTTACAGTAAATAAATAAATAACAATAATTAGGAAGAGAAGGCCCATTCTCTCACCTTGATTACATGATTAATTTTCATTCCCTATCTTCCTAATTGTGGGATTATATTAAAGGAGACCATCCCCTACTTACGTGTGATTACTGACCATTCCCTGAGAATGTTCTCCCAAGAAAACATCATATCTCAGCTCTCAGCTTAGGCATTGTTTCTTTGGACTCCCAACAATGGTACCTTCTAGCATTTTGATTTCGAAGGCTCATCAAATCAGTGGTTTTTAATCAGTCAGTAATGACAAGCAACCTTCTACCCCATACTAACTTGTGCAATTTTACACATAATATCCATTTTTTCAGTTTTCTCATCCTGTTTAATGTTAAAATGAGGATTAAAACATGAATGTATTCATTTTTCTTCCGCTTTTACAAATCATAAATAGTTTTATGTGGGAAAATTGTTTATTTTCTTCCACTTTTTAGTATTCTGTACTGCTCACCAAATTCATCTCCAGATTGCTTTCAGCTTCTCTCAAGCACATGTAACACTGGCATTCCTCCTGCGACAAGGGTACATGTGATGTTCTCTTTGTGATCTGATTTCTGCCACAATTCTTTATAGCTAAGTGCTGCCCACAGGTCACAAATGTGTCTCCCACAATTTCCCTGAATCCTCCAGTCCGTGCTGTCTGTTAGTCTGTTTATGTCGTTCCCTCTGTGCTGAGTAGCTCTGAGAGAGGCTTTAGTGTATCAGTTCCCTTGCATAAGCCTGTTATGGAATGTTCAGTAAATTGATAACTGAGTGTTGTGGTTGTAATATTCTGTATAAATCGTAGAGAGGAATGGAAGGAAAAGATGTTCTGGCTGTTCTCTTCTTTAAGGTGCAGGGGAGGTCAGTCCAATTTGGAATACACATTCTGGAATGTCTGCTGTATGTCCTTTCATGCTCGCAGGAGGGAAATTTCGGAACTCCCACACTCCAGTGAATATCATGGACTATATTTAAAGGCATTCATCAATGTAACTAATTTTTAGTCACACTATCTCATAATAATCTTTTTTATGACTGTATGTTTTTAAAGGTGTACCTCTTGTTTCTTTTCATTATTTTACCAATAATGTATATTGAAATAAGGAAGCTGTCACTGTTTTCAGAATAGTGTCTCTCTTGCCCTGCAAAAATTATCTATTTACATCTATTCAGGGAACCACCAAAGAGACGCTTATGTGTATATTTCCATTCATTCATTTTGAGCTTAGTTATTTTATGTGTATGAATATATGCCTGGGCACTGCTTGTGTCCCTGATGCCTGCAGAGGCCAGACAGAGTTAGGTATTGGATCCATTGTAACTGGATTTGTAGATGGCTGTTAGCTTTGATGTGGGTGCTGAGAATTGCAGGAGTAGCAAGTTCTCTTAACCCCTGAACCTATTCTTCAAACATATATGTACAACTTAATACGCTTTCACAGACTGCTTACCTTCACCATGCTGGAATCAATCAATCCAGTCTGTGTGCATCCACTTAAATGAGGAATTTTGCTGCAATGATGTGGTGGAGTGTTGAAGTTCTAGTTGGTCTTAATAATAAAAATCCAGAGCCAGATATTGGGGCAAAAGTTGAAAGATCAGAGAGAGAAAGGAGCAAGCCACAGCTAACTCTTACCTTGCTAACTCCTCAGCCAAAAAGGGTATCCTGTCTTTACAAGTCCTCAGAATGAATGCTGTCTTATGAAACCTTAGACTGCATCTGCTCCTGTCTCCTCCCACCTTATATTCCTCTTTCTGACCAGCCATATCACTCCTATCTCTACCTCCCTAGTTCTGGAATTAAAGACATGTGATCCCAAGTGCTGGGATCACCTTTGTGTGAGCACTGTTTCTCCTTTAGACAGATTCAGTCTCCTGTAATAGCCCAGGTTGGCCTTGAACTCACTGGGATCCATCTGCCTCTGTCTCTTGCGTGCTGGGATTGAAGGTGTGTGTCACCCCTGCCTGATCTCTATGGCTAGCTAATGATTTAGCGCTGCACTCTGATCTTTAGGCAAGCTTTATTTGTTAGATTATAAAAAATATCAGTACAGCAGAGGAGTTATACGTATTCTAGAAGCTTCAGGAATATCAAAACTTTAGAAATAGAAAGTTCGGGACTCACAAGAACCTGTTCTGTGACAACCCACTGTGGATTAAATTTACAACTTTCTCAACTCATTAATTCATTTTATTAGGAATATTATTTGGCTTCTTTAAAAAGTATTTTTCATATATAAATTGCATTTTGTACAATATTGGCATATTTTACGGAGTCAATGAACTGACATGCATAGTGCATAGGGAAGTGCCCAGTATCCTAAAAGATCTATTTTCTAAAATCAGTTCTTAGCATTTGTAGCCTCATGCCTGCTTTATCCACACTTCTCATATTCTATGGTTTACATTGTGTCTAAATAAGGAGAAATTCACAAAAAATGAAATCATGGTAAGGAAAGAAAGAGTACTTCATCTGCAAAAGATGTAGTCACTAGAAATTATACAGTTCGGGTCAAAGTTTCCAGCCCTGGGAGGAAAACAAAGATTGTGCAGAAGCCGTGGGAGCAAGAGCTTCCCACTCCAGGCTGCAGCACAGGTGTCCTGTCTCCTACCCTGCCTGTCCTGTGTAATGAGCAGTTCTGGCCCAGTGGTCACACACAATGTCCACATGGGTACTGAAGCCCTTCTGGATTACAGGTAGGAAATGGTAGACCATCTTTTCCCTGAATTTGGCCACTTTCCTCTCCCAGAGTGACAGGGAACCCATGTCCTTGTCTCCTACATCTCAGTCCTCCACAGTTTCTTTCAATAACAAGGCAGCTCCAACCCACCATGGCATGACAGCACTTACCCATGCAGTGTGTGCAGTGGCTCAGGATGGGTGTCCTCATGGCACCGGGCAGACCCTGTTATCAAGCTGAGACCTTAATGCAACAAGGTGTCATGATGTTTTCATCAGGACTTCGGCTTTGTCAGGGGAAAAGGTTGCTTCTGCAACCTCCATCCCTGAGGCCACTCTGCCTTCTCCCTGGTGCTCTGCCATTTGCTGAACCCAGAAACTTTCCAATTCTAATTATCGTGCCTGTGAGTAGGTGATGAACAGTACAGTGCACAAGGGATCTGGGTTTTGTTAACTTAAACACGTTCTTTCCTCTTTCCATTCATTTACCCCCTCAACCAAGAGCTGCTTTGGAAGAAACATTTGGTAATCTAAAGTGCTCACTTTCTGAATAATTTTCAAACATATTTTTTATTAATAGCAAAAGATTATTGAATACAATAGACAAGGGCTATGGTCAGGGTCATGCTTAAGAAAAGTCACCGAGAGACTGTGGGAGGCCCTGCACACTCAGGATTATTTTGAATGCCAGCTGAGCGTTTTACAGTCAGTCCTGTGTATTTTGTTTTTTTTTTCCTGAGCTATTTACTTTTTCTTACTTAAATTACTTTCATTCACAGTGTTTTAATCATTTCATTCTGGTCCCTCAATGCCTCCTGCATCTTCTGCACCCACAGATAAAAATATGGGCTATTTAAAGTTGCAAGAGCTAGTTAGTAGTAAGCCTAAGTTATCTGCTGAGCATTTATAATTAATAAGGGGTCTCAGTGTGGTTATTTGGGAGCCAGCTGGCAGGAAAGAGCTGATTTCCAGGACACTGAAACTCCGCCCACAGTCCCTCTCCATATCCCTTCTGTATCCTATGCTCCCACCTCCCTCTTTTCTTCATCCTTTGAGTATACTTAAAAGACTATACTCTAACTCCTGCTCCCTGAGAAATCACCCATCACTATGTACCTAACCTCTGTAGTTATATAAGTTGTAACATATATAGTGAAAGTTTATAAACTAACATCCACAAATAAGAGAAAACACACAATATCTATCCTTTTGGATCTGGGTTTCCTCAGTCAGGATGATTGTTTCTAGCTCCATCTATTTACTTGCAAATTACATTTTTCTTAACAGTTGAATAATATTTCGCTGTGTAAATGCACCACATTTTCGTTATCCATTCATCAGTTGATAGACACCTAGGATGTTTCCGGTTTCTGGCTACTATGAATAGAAAAGCAATGAATACGGATGTACAAATGCCTCTGTAAGAAGTTAATGTCTTTGGAGCCAGGCGGTGGTGGCATATGCCTTTAATGCCAGCATTGGGGAAGCAGAGGCAGGCAAATCTCTGAGAGTTTGAGGCCAGCCTTGTCTACAAGAGCTATCCTGGACAGGCTCCAAAGCTACAGAGAAACCCTGTCCCAGAAAAAAAAAAGTCTTTGGATATATGCTTGTGCTTGGGAGAACTGGATCCTGAGGTAGATCAATTTTTAGTTTCCTGAGTCGTTGGTCTGGTTTAAGGCCTCTGGCCTTTGGCACATCATCATCATCATCACTGGACCCTCACGGAAACTCCTCTCTGATATCCTGCTATTACTTCAAGTCCTGGAGATGCT